AGAGCCCTGGCCATTCAGAACAAATGATGGCAGGGAGTTGAGGTCCACTGCGAGGGGGTCGTGTGCAAAAGCATACAAATCTGCGACGGTTTGTGGAGAATTCAACCAAGCAGCCAGACGAGGCCCGACACTCAAGGGACCCATGTTGTGCCAGTCAAAATGAAACTGCGCAAGGGCGAGCAAGTCCTCCCTCTTCTCCGCTATGCTCCTCTCAATACTCCAATGCTCCATCGAAGCAATTTGTGCCGCCCATTCTTCCTGGTACTCTTTGGTGACCATATCTAGTGCCTCGTTCGCAGGCGCGGCCCTTGCCTGCTTGTATGCGCGCTCTCTCTGAGCACGACGGACCCAATCGAGCGGCATGGTGAGCAAGCTAGAGTAGTAGGGGTTTGCGTGAAGAAGCGACGTATTGCGATGATAGCGAGCGACGTATTGCGATGATAGCGAGCGACGTATTGCGATGATAGCAAGTGAAGCATTGAAATGTCAGCGTACGTGTGATTACGTGCTCAAAGTAAGGTGACTGTCCTCCGTACTGTGACGGAAAAGCGCTCGACCTAGCTGTTCAAGCCGACACGCTCAGCTCGATCTTCTCCCCAGATCCTGCTAGCTGGCCCCGTCTGTATAGCAGCCATCCGGCCAGTCACGCATCAAGCCAGTCATGCATCTCCACAGACGTCCTGCCATTTGCTTATCCCATCTCGCTTCCTCGATGCGATTGCTGCGATGGTCACGCTGTTTCCATGGACTGTGGCAGCAAGAAGCGACAATACGGTTCTGCTTGCCTGACGCTTGCTCGACTCGAGAGCGCAAAGGACGTCTGCAGGTCATCTAGCCAGACCCAAATCTGCCTGCCCTTCTCCTGCTCCAGCGGTCATGCCGAGCGGCGGTGTCTGGCTGCGCTCGCTCGGTTTCGCCTGAATCGACCACGGAGCGTGTTCTGAATGAAGCGATGCCCACACGAAACATGGGACACCTCGCGGTATGTCATCGCACCAAATTTGTCTCGCCTGAAACCGAAGAATCACTCCATCATCGCTCAGTGGGACGTGCGCGGGCTGTCGATATCGTGCGTGTCATGCACCCAGTCGGTTCGCAGTAATCTCAAAGTACCGCTGAAAGTCATCCTGATCCTAGTCCCGCTGGTCAACGCAATGAATCGGCCATTCGTCACGAGTGCCAGACTGTAGAGTGCTCGCACGGCACGCCGACCACGAAAGCCAAATAAACAAGAGCAACATTCACGATTCTGGATATAGTGAGCGCACATGCAAAGCTGCGCCCTATGCAGCTGCA